GTGTTATATCGGGGTAGAGGTGTACTTCAATTTTTTTTTTTTTTTTTAAGTTAATGGAACAAGCTGATGGAAAAGACTTGCTTGCTTGTTACCTGGATTATCCTATCCCTGTTGGGGGTGGGAGATTCCCTTTCCCCAAGTCAATTTTACATGCTATAGCAGCATAGAAGAGCTAATGGAGTTCTAGATCCACCCACTAGAGAATTCTGCCTGACCCAACGGATGTTACATGTGATATTCTGTGATGTGTTGTCTGGTTCTCTCATTTTTATTTTTCTTTTTCTTTGAGGTTTATGCGCTGGTGGAATGTGTTTTGAAGTCATTACTGTTGACTTCTTTTCACTATAGGTTTTCTACATCTCATTGGATATAGTGCTACATTATATAATCTCTCCTTTGATTATGGTTAGAATCAGATCTTGAACAACAGCATTCACAGGATGCATTCATGCTATATTGTTTGTCATCCTATCTTCTGGCCTTTTTTTGATAACCAGGAGATATATTACAGCTATATGCATTTATTTAAGCAATTGTATAGTTTAACATATATTTATTGAGGTTAATTTTTACATTTATGTTCAAAAATTTACTAGATTTTTACGCATAATTTGTGTTAAATTGCAGTTGGATGGAAATTGGAATTAAATTAAAACTGCGCAGAACCCTGCATTCTAAAATTGCTAAAGTAGTTACAACTAATAAAAATGTGCTGCATATGTAAGGTGGGGGGGAGTACGTTAATCAAAACATAGTTTAATCAGCTAGTTTCAAATGCAAAACAAGTAGTATCTGTGGTGAGTGAATGGAACTGATAGTTTCTGGTTACTGTGTCCTTCGAGGTTTCAGAACTAGTAGATCTTATCCTCTCGCACCTTGGTTTTTATTCAGCGATTTGAAGAGGAAAATAAGCTTTCCTGCTTTTTCAACTCCCAGTTGGTTTCTCAACTTTGAACTAGTCATTGAACTGAACTAGGAGAGTAGAATGAAATGATGAAAATAGTCTCTGACAAAAGTTGATTCAGCACTAACAAACGCTGGTTTAGCACTTTAAACGAACTCTGCTTAGCCAGTGATTTCTACCAGTTCACTTTATATATAAAAAAAAAAAAAAAAAATGGTGGCAAATATGTAGTGCTTGAATGTTGTTCCAATTTATTGTTAATTATTTTAAAAGATATAGGTTGTCATAATTGCAAATTTAATTTGAAATAGGTTTTCAAACCAAGAAAAAATATACTAAAATTTTGATTTAAAAAATGGGTTTTTTATTTAATTTTTTTTTAATCCACCCTGGTTGAATCTCTTTGTGTAATAAGTTGAACATGGTAACAGTTTGACAAGTCACCTGACACCAAAGATAAAACACTTATTAATCCATAGGGCTTCTATAGGGTAATGGATAGTGTTATTGCTCTGTGTAAAGATAGTATAATAGACCCATTCTCAATCATGTGCTAACTGCATTTTGAAGAAACAGCAGTACATTGTTTGGGTTATTGCAAAAGTTTTTCTCCTAGAGGGGCTTGTGTTCAAATGTGTGTGAAGTCACAAGATTTTAATAGACTTGAGCACATTTTAATACCCATTGGCAGTCTGTTCAAGAGAAAATCAGAATTGAAATAAAAAGGTTGTGGCAGGTACTGAAGATTTATATAATTAATTTATATAATGTTCATTTTCAATCCCATTTTTTTTATACATCCTAACAATCGGTTTGCTCTTGTGACTGTTGCTGTACCATGGGCACGTGTCTTTTCTTAAGCTGACCACAGTAATGCTCTGGCCTCTTTCCTGAATGGTTAGTTAAATTCTAAATAAACAGTTAGTACTTGTAGTTCAAATTATTCCTTCTGTTGGTTAACGCTGAAATTAATCTGCTGCTGTTTTCCTCATTCACCTGCAAGTGATAACGGAGATGGCTGGGATGACTCTGCTTTTAGAGATTGAGATGTTTGGTCGTTAAATCACAAATTTTAAGATGTGCTTTTATCCAAGGTTTGAAAAAATTACCAATTCTGAGGTAAAAGGAGTGAAAAATCAATAAAGCATTCCCTCCCCAAATCTATGAAATGGCAGTATTCAAGATGTGAGCATACCATGGATTTATAGAAAGGCAATATAATATTTTCTGTCTTATTATCTATCCCTTTCTTAAGGACTCCCAACATTCTGTTCGCTTTTTTGACTGCCGCTGCACATTGAGTGGATGTTTTCAGAGAACTATCCACGATGACTCCAACATCTCTTTCTTGAGTGGTAACCGCTAACTTAGACCCCATCATTTTATATGTATAGTTGAGATTGTTTTCCAATGTGCATCACTTTGCATTTATCAACATTGAATTTCATCAGCCATTTTGTTGCCCTGTCACCCAGTTTTGAGAAGTCCTTTTGTAGCTCTTCGCAGTCTTCCTGGGACTTAACTATCTTGACTAGTTTTGTATCATCTGCAAATTTTGCCACCTCACTGTTTACCCCTTTTTCCAGATCGTCTATGAATGTTGAATAGGACCGGTCCCAGTACAGACCCCTGGGGGACACCACTATTTACCTCTCTCCATTCTTAAAACTGACCATTTGTTCCAAGAGCAAGTAGTAAATTTCCTGCCTTTTCTTTTCTTTTATGTGGGAGCCTTTACTACAGAGAATAAAATAGGTGTTACCAGTCATCTGCAGGGTACTCTGTGGAGTTCTTTCTTCCCCATTGATTAGTAGATTTGTACCTTCTCCTTCCATCAGGATGAAAGGACAGCCATGACCAGGGCTTTTTGCAGCACTTGCTGGAGATCCAAACAATCCAGCTCATTTCAAAATACCAGCTACATTTTTAGGAATTTACTCCTTTCTATTGTATACAGGCTCTCCGTGGTCAGTAGGGGCACAATTAGTGTTAGATCGCAAGCGGCTCAATTCTTCTGTCATCTACGTTCACTCAAAACAGAAAGCACTTGGTCCATCACAGCTGCTGTTTGACCTTAGGAGACTTCCTCAGTGCTCATCCAG